TTAGCCCTGAGTTTTGATAGACGCTTGGCTGCTGGTGCCACTGCGCTAATTGGAAACACCAGCAGAGGGCTATTTAGCTTCAGGCTCTAAACTGGCTCCTTTGTGGAAGCAAACTCGTCAACTTCACGACGCCTTGCGTGTACTCCACCTCCTAGTTCCAGACCTCGTTCCTGCTCCTCTCCTCCAGCTTCTGACTCTGGCTTGAACGACCTTGCTCCTGGTTTGGCTTTGGCCTTTCACTCTTAGTTCCTGCTCAACCACTTTTGGCTCAAGACCCCAGACTGAACTTGGACTTCCCTCTGCCTGCACCCCAGACTTTGACACTTGCCATGTGTAGGGCAGTCCATGTAGCTGTAGTTTTGGTGGTTGCCCAGCACACTGGTCCATTCCTGTCCAGCATTTGCACACCACTGGTCTAGGCTCAGACCGATTCTCCACTGGCACTCAAACTCTGCCTCCATACAAGCTGGTGCACCAGGTAAATGACTTTTAACTTGAACACGTGGAACACCCAAGTAGATCTGTGCTCACTACATGGCCATGCTTTCTTTTAAAAAGGCCTCAAATTCTGCTAATCTCCACTAATCGCTTAGGTTTTACTCCTGGGACTAAAACTGCAACTTTTTGTGTGTGTGTGTGCTGTTTTAATGGGGGAGCGGTCAAACATGGGTATACAGTTCAGTAAATAATACAGCATTTTTGCTGCTCCAGTTGTAGCCATGGGTGGATTTTAATTACCAAAGAGCACAGATAATTACAGGTCTTTTAAAGTATTGAATTCTTGCAGTGGAACAAATTTGTTCCAGCTACATTATAAAATGTGGACAGCCCAATTACCTGGCAGAAGATTTATTGACTCTGCCCCAGCTACATAACTTTTTACTTAGTGAGTGTATATATATATCCTGCATCATTTTTAGTTGCATTTCTGCTGTTTGTGCAAGGATATGTCATTAGTTGTCCAAGACTCTTCTCCCTTTCCTCCCCTCCCCTGTCTATCCTATGAGGCAAGAAAGATCTCTGACTCACCAGCGTGTAGTGGTAGGATTACCAGGGGTCATTTTGTAGAAAAAGAGATGCAGGAGCTCATTAGCATAACTTATTTGCATATGCCACACCCCTTGACATCACCAGAAGTGTGTCAGAAGGCACCACTGGACTGTTTTGGATTGCTAGCTATTGGGGGGGAAACGTGCAGATCTGTCCTCACAGAGGAGGGAGAGCTTGTACCTGAATAAAACTTGGTCTTAAAGGTGCCACTGGACTGTCTTGGACCGGGGGGCTGGGGGGGGGGGCTCTGCAACTTCCCTGGCTGCTTCTTGCTCTGACTGAGGGCTGCTGGGAGCAGGGGGTGGGGCTTATTGCATGTGCCCACCCCCTGGGCTCTTTACTGCCAGAGCACCACTCCAGTGCACTCCCGCAGGAAATGAGCCCTGAGGGTTACCAATTTCAAGATGGCACTCAGAGTTCTCCTGGAATCGCAACTGATCTCCAAACGACAGAGACTCATTCCCCTGGAGGCCACAGTGGCTTTGCAGGGCAGGCTCCATGGCACCACTTCCCCACTGAGCTTCCCCAAAAAAACCTGTGGCCGCTCCAGCCCACACCTGCAAATCTCAAGGAATTGCCGAAGCAGGAATTGGCAACCATCCTGCATTGAGGGTAGGCTTGCCAAGTCCCCTCGGGGGGCGGATTGGGCCCCGGGGGGAACCCCACCCCGACGTGCGTGTCACCCGGAAGTGACGCAACCACGCCGGGCGCGCTGGGGGCGAGGCCACGGGGTTTTCCCTCGGATGGTCGTGGCCCCGCCCCCAGCGTGCCCGGCGTGGTTGCGTCACTTCCGAGTGACGTGGATAAACCGGATAAACCGGTGACGTGCGAGCCGGCTAAAGTTGTCTTGTTCTACACCAAATAAAGTACGCTAAGATGAAATCACTCGTCTGTCTGCGTACTTTTCACTGAGTATCTTGAATTCCATGCAGCCTAAATGGATCAATGTTAAGTAGGGACTGCTGATAGGCGGGGCGTAGAGATCTCCCAGAATTACACCTTTCCCCCCCAAAAAAAATTTTTATTAGGATATAATAAGAAAAAAAAAGTTCAAACATATATCAAAACTTATACAATTATATATCCTTCCCTCCTCCCTTCCCCCCCCCCTTTTCGGCTTCCCACAGTGCTCCAACGTCCAGCACAATTCTTAAATTTTCTCCATACCCCCCTTTCTCCTTATTCACAACCACAGGTAACTTATCCTTCAGCAGTTATTCTTATACATTTATCTATTTTCTACTATCCTTTAATTTTCGATAGTTCTCAAAGCAAAGTAAATTGTCCGTTACATCCCAGTATTTCTCCAAATAATCTTTAAAGTCTTTCCAGTCTGCAAAAAATTCTTCTGCTTCCAAATTGTTAAGTTCCCAGAATTACACCTTAACTCCTAACTACAGAGACCCCTTCACCTGGAACAAACGGCTGCTTTGGAGAGTAGAACCTAGAGGTGCCAGGTGAAATCTCTCCTTAAATCCCCCCCTCTACAGGCACCTCCCCCAGATCTCCAGGGATTTCTCAGATCGGAGTAGCCAACCCCATGATTTCAGGAAAGATTTAAGCACCGCTCACATTTTGCCCAGAGTGCACCTCTCTTCTGTGTAACGTCCGCCTGGGGTAGGATTCAGAACATCAGGTTTTTTGTTCCCAGGTCTCTGGGAGGGGCTATAGGGTATAAACAGACATGCCCACATAATGAAGGGGACTATTCAGCCTCTACAGCTTGTCTCTCTGCCTCCCCCTTCACATACACCTTTGAATCTAGGGCCAGTTTTTATTTATTTTATTTATTACATTTGATTTTAAACCACCCTCCCCCAGGAATACCAGGCTCAGGATGGTGCACAACAGGATATCATATAGACAGCATTAAAAACAAATTAAAACCCATAAAACACAGCAGTAACCAAAAGATGGCATTAATTTTTCCCCCAATGGAGCTATTGGCCTCACGGGGAGGCAAGGGGGTTAAGGTTCCCAAGTCCGGTCGGCACTGGAGCGGGGGACTCCAGCGCCGCTCTGGAAGTGCGCGCACGCCGCAACCCCATCACCCGGAAGTGATGCAACCACGCCGTGCATGCTGGCCATGACCATCCGAGGGAAAACCATAGAATTTTCCCTTGGATGACTGTGGCCCCGCCCCCAGCGTGCCCGGAGTGGTCGCGTCACTTCCGTGTGACGTGCACGTCGCGTGCTTTGGGGGTGGGGTCCCCCCCCGGGGCCCGATCCGCCGGCGGTGAGGAACAGGCCTCTGGGGTGGGGGTTCCCCCGCCCCCCCGGGGGGACTTGGCAAGCCTAAAGGGGGTGGGAGTGGCAGACAGATGGGGCTGTTGGTGTCCTCAGCCGAACATCTCAGCCTTGCAGGCCCTGTGGAGCTGTATCAGGTCCCACAGGGCACAGATGTTGTTTGGCAGGGAGTTCCAGCAGGTTGAGGACAGCCGGATATCTCTCAGGCCAGGGACCACCAGCAGATTTTGAGCTATTGAGCGCAGTGCTCTCCTGGGGGTACAGCAGGGGAGGTGGTCCCAAAGATACATGGGTCCTGGACCATTAAGGGCCTTAAAGGTCAACACTAGAACCTTGAACTTGATCCGTTACTCCACTGGAAGCCAGTGCAGCTCACACAGCCTAGGGTGGATGTTTGCTGCTCGTGGAGTCCCCGTGAGTACCCACGCAGCTGCATTCTGTATCAGTTTGAGTTTCCGGGTCAGCCTCAAGGGTAGGCCCACGTAGAGTGTGTTACAGTAGTTTAGTCTGAAGGGGACTGTTGCATAGATTAGCGTGACTAGATTGGGGCGAGGCAGGTAGGGAGCCGGTTGCCTGACCTGGCACAGTTAGAAGAATGCCAGTCTGGCAACATGAGAGACCTGGGCCTCCATTGTTAAGAAGGCATTCAGGATCACACACCCTGGCTCCTGGCGGTCGGGGCTGTTCTCAAGGGCACGTGGTCAAGAGCTGGGAGTTGGCACCCCAGACTGGGACCCTCTTTGACCCTCCAAATCATCCTTTAGCAAAGCCATCCATCGTTTTCTTCTTTTCTCAAGCTGCTGCAAATTTAAACATTTGATCGTCGTTGTTCTTTAAAATCATTCTTAAAATGTGAAAAAAAAAGTTCTGGGGAGGGAGTGACCTCATGGTTGCCCCAAAGACTAGCTAATCAGTAGCGAGCACAGACTCATCAGGTGCAAATATGACGAGCGGTTTCCCTGGACCTCGGTGCTTCACGTAATATGGGTTACCTCTGATGTTCTGGGGAGGGAGTGACCTCATGGTTGTCCCAAAGACTAGCCAATCAGTAGCGAGCACAGCCTCATCATGCAAATATGACAAGCGGTTTCCCTGGACCTTGGTGCTTCACGTAATATGGGTTACCTCTGACCAGAAGCAGGTCAGCATGTGGGTTACCCACACTGGGCTCAGAGGATGTGCATCTGGCTGTGCAGTGGGTGGCCTGAAAGCAGGGCCCTTGTGAGCCGTGGGCTCCGCAAACACACAAAAAGCACACCCAAAGCGCCTCGGCCGTTACCCACTGGGCTCAGGTGATGTGCATCTGGCTGTGCAGTAGGTTGCCTGAAAGGGCCCTTATGAGCCGTGGGCTCTGCAAACAAACAAAAAGCACACCCAAAGCGCCTCGGCCTGAGTCCTTAGAAGGCACAGTGTTGGGCCGCCATAACTCCTGGGACCCCAGTTGGAGGAACGAACGCGGCTCTCACTTGCTGGGCATCGCAGACGTTGCCTTCCACCCTGGGACACCGCCATGGAGCCGAATTATCTCTCCCTCTCTTTTCTTGCAGCTGGCGTTGAGAGGACACACATTGGGCCGCCAGAACTCCTGGGACCCCAGTTTGAGGAACGAACGCGGCTCCCGCTTGCTGGGCGTCGCAGACGTTGCCTTCCACCCTGGAACGCCGCCGTGGAGCCGAATTATCTCTCCCTTTCTTTTCTTGCAGCTGGCGTTGAGAGGACCAGCCGGCCCAATGGGCCTCACGGGAAGGCCAGGCCCCATGGTAAGTAAGAGGCCCGGGCCCACGAGGGGACGGAGGCCACAGACTTCCTCTTTAGTCCGGCTCTTTAGGGAGGGGGAACTGCCACTGGGATGCAGTGACTGACGTGAGCACATCCGGAGGAGGACCGGAGTTCTGGGAGCTGGGCTTGTAAGAATTACAGAATCTGGTTAAAGCCCGTTTAATGCTACAATATGTGTTCTCTTGGGATTCCTGTACTTTAAAATAAGATTTTAAAAACTTTTAAGCAGAGGGTGCATATTTTGCCAGGGAACGGAGGTCACAGACTTCCTCTTTAGTCTGGCACTTTAGGGAGGGGAAACTGCCACTGGGATGCAGCGACTGACATGAGCACATCCGGAGGAGGACGAGTTCTGGGAGCCGGGCTTGTAAGAAGCACAGAATCTGGTTAAAGCATGTTTAATGCTACAATATGTGTTTTCTTGGGATTCTTGTATTTTAAAATAAGATTTTAAAAACTTTTTAAGCAGAGGGTGCATATTTTGCCAGACTCTGAAGATTAATGATATCGCAGTAAAGAATAAATTTCCCATCATGCTTTGCCTCCTTCCAAAGGCCTTAATGTAGATTTCAGAGGTTTCCGTTTAAGCCAAAGGAAATCGTCAGGGAATTGACTGAGGGGGGACCCAAAACCAATGACTATTTTGAAAGGGCAACTTTGGCCTGTTGCTAATTAATAATTAGTTACTTAATTTCTGTCTTATCCACTTATTTAGTACTGGCATTAAAAAATTAAAGTACGAAAAAACCCCTGCCAACTGCTACAGACTACCAAAAGTCCATATAAGATCAGCAACCCCCCCTCTCAGCAGTAAACAAATAATTTAAAACTAAAAAAAGATTAGAGCAATGACCATCCCCATTTAAACATTAAAAACTCTGCAGCAGTAATAACAAAGGCTGACATATTTACCAAATCAGCAAACCCCTGGCGCTCAGATGCATGCAGAGGCCCCCGGGGAAAGGAAGGGCTTCGCAAGCATCCAGGGACAGCAAACCCTGGCCTGGCTGATGGGGGCAGGGAGTTCCGAGGTGAGGGGGTGCGGCTGATCCCTCGCAACCCCCCCACCCCCATATTCAGTAGGCCTTAAAAGCATCTAGAGTAGTTTGAAAAGCTTAGATTAAAACAAAAACAAATAGATAGGGCACCTTACTGGAGGATAAGCTGTGAGCAGCAAAATGTTGACTGGCCATTGGGGCAGCCTTGTTGCCGTCGCGGCTTCCAGGCCCTGTTGGGCCATAAGGAGTCTTTCCTTTCCTTTCTGTAAGCAGTAAAATCGACACAGGGCCTTCTTTGCCCCACAGGGATCTCCGGGCAGCGGAGGAATCAAGGGTGACCCAGGAGACATGGGGCCTCAGGTACGTAAGAAGCATCTCCACCCCTTCTACCTGTTTCCCGTGCATTGGAACCTGGGGGGGGGGGGCTTGGCCGTTTATCAGAGCTACTCAGCTCCAGGAGAAGACCCATAAGGTCCATCAGCGTGGACACTCTTCCCTGGAGGATGGCTTCCCTGCCCACGCCCATTTCCCCTGGCAACAGGCTGCCAGAGGGCGACAGGTGCCCTGTGGGCCAGGATGAGTCCCGTGGGGGCCGGCCAGCCAGCCAACCTGGACCAGGCATCCTCGCATCCGGAGAAGGTGGGCTTCGATGCAGGGGAGCTCCTGCTGGAATGGATGTCCTCGCAGTGCCCACTGGACTCCTGCTGAGCAGCCCAGGACAGGGGTCCCCGAGATATCGCCCTCTGGCCCCTTTCCAGGTGCCCGCCAAATGTTTTTAGAGAATGGGTGGGGCTTCTGCCCAGCGAGGCCACTGATTGAAAGTGAGCTGTGGCAGTCATTCTGTGGCTGCAGCCACCACCCTGTGCCAGGATTTCAAAGGTGCACCAGAAGGTTCAGCTTTGGACGGGGGGGAGGGGGGCGGTCTTCTGCTTTTTCTGACTGGCTGCCGAATGTTACAGAGGTTATGAAGCTGCACGAGAATACTTTAGATTAACACGCATACCTGGGAACACGACCATGAGCCCGCAGCACACTTCCTAGCAAGGAGCGGGCACAGGGCTTCCAGGGGTGGGGTTGCCTAACAGCTTAAGAGGGGGCTGGTTCCAGAGTTCCCTCCATGCCCACGAGAAGCTTCAGCATAGCATTTTACAGGCATTAGGCCCCTGCAGAAGGGCGGGGCATTTTTTCTGTGTCAGTTGGAAGCCCAGGGCCCTCCAGAGGCCGGCCTCTCTCAGTCACTAGAGGAAGCCTCGCTGTCCCCCTCCATGGCTGGCGGCTGGCTGCAAGTTTGCTGCAAGTTGAAGGGATTTTTTTTTTGTTTAGTTTTTTACTTCATGCTGATTCTCCCAATAGTTGAAATTCTGAACTGAGGCATGCCTTCTGATTCAACGGCTGCAAATTCAGAGTGCTGACTCACGCAGAGACAGTATCGGCAGACTCTGTTGTATCTTTGCACTAAGAGTCATCGAATGACGCAGCTGTGCCAGTGCAGAGATATGGCAGAAATCGCTGGGCCCCGGCAGAGGCAGGTGGAAGGAAAGGAGGCCGGACCGGCTTCAGAGGGTCTGTGGCAAGACAGCTCAGTTTGAGTCCCAGAGCACCTGAGAGACCACCAGATTTCCGGGGGATCAACTTTTGAGAGTCAAGGCGGGATCTGTAGCTGCCCTGCAGGAGACGTTGAATCAATGGCCTTGGCTTCTGCGGTTGCCCTTTTCAGTCTCTTTTGTCTATTTTAGGGTCCACGAGGTGTGCAAGGCCCCCCAGGCCCATCCGGGAAACCAGGACGCCGGGTACGTGGAATCAGGCCGCCTTTGGCACAGGGGGGCATGAGGGTGACCCGTTCACTGAACAGTAGCTTGGGACAGGAAACAGAGCTGGGTCCACAGGAGCCCTACCCCCCACCCCCATATTCTCAGCCTCTGTCCAGGAAGCCCCGTGTGCAAAAGGGTGCGGCTGCTAGTCACGTGTGGTCATCATGCCCCAGGCCCCGGGGACAGAGAGAGACGTCTGATGGCTGCGCTGCTGCAGGAGTGCTCAGAGAGAGATCTCCTGCGTCCGGGCGGGGACTCCTGCCAGCCCGTCCGCCGTGAGGCATGTTCCGCATAGGCCAGGAAGGAGAAACAGCCCGTCCAGATCAAGGCCCTGGCCATGCGATCATTTGGCAATGACCCAAAGCCCCGAGGCAGGTGGCTCTTTCTGGCCTCAGTCAGATGTTGTAACTTCATTTCCTTCTTGTCTTCTCAGGGACGTGCTGGCAGTGATGGGGCAAGAGGAATGCCAGGGCAGACGGGGCCAAAGGTAGTTCCTTCGAAATCTACGGGCAGATTGTTTTCCTTTGTTTCGCATAGCAGCCGCATCTGTTCATGCAGACATGCTGCTCACGTGGAGTGAAACTCAGCCACGGAAACAGAGCCCCCTAAGCGAGACATATCCATTGGGAAAGAAGTCCCTTCGTCTTCTCTCTCCTTCTTGCCCCTCCCTCCCTCCCTCCCTCCCTCCATCCATCCATCCATCCATCCATCCCTCCCTTTGGAGCTGGCTCAAAGGAGACAGAAGCCATTAACAGGGACTTTGAATGCAGGGGAAATTGGCCCCAGAGTCCTGTATATTATTCGGAGGTTTAAGTGCTTGATTCTGTAGGTACTTAAAGTGGAAATAGATTGGGGGGGGTGGCTCTGTAACAGAGAAAAGAGGCTGCAAATCATTTGTCCCCATAAGCTGTGGCTCCCTTGTCCCCAAAGGACGGGACATGAGTGGGGGGGGGGGGGAAGGGCGGGGGAGAGAGAGGAACTGATTTCTTTGGAGGAAGCTGTGCAAGGGAAATTGGCATTCATCAGCTCAGGACTCCTGAAAGGGTGCTTAAATTGCTTCTCCGAGTTCCTTGGCCATTTGAATGATAATGACCAAGGAAGTGCAGGTGACCAAGAATGTGGAGCCAAAACTAGCAGCCCTGAGTCAAGCTCTGTGCTGTGACGTCATCATGAAAGGCATCTTCCTGCCGCCTGCAGCATGCTATGGAGGAGGGGTGGGCAGATGGCCAGCCATGTGTTACTTCCGCCTGCAGAGTGTCTTGGCATCACACGTCTTGGTGGCCTATGGCAGGGGAGGGGGGGGCCTTTGGGCACAGGGCCACTTGATTTGGGGGTGGCCATGCAACATCCAAGTTTGCCCCAGCCCCGAGGCTCTCACCTTGCTGCGAGTCCGTATACAGTTGGCTGTTACCTTGCCAAGAATGGCTTTCGACACCATAGACGTGTTGACAAGCGCCAAAAGAGTGGGAAGGTGCCACGCTGGCCCAAGACTGGCTTCCGGGCCCTCGCTGCAGCCTTTGGGCCTCAGTCAAGGAGAGAGGCTCCGTTTTCAGGTCCGTGGCCTCCCAGCAATGCCCACGGTGAGTCGAGCGCCTGCTGCAGCAGCCCCAGAAGGCCGGGCCAGCCCTCAGGGTAGGGGTCCCGGGAGCATGCAGGGAGCGGTGCTGGTGGCTCCCTCGTGGTCTGGCCGGGGCGGCCGCTGCTCATCAATGACAGTGTTCCAGGAATGGCAGAGACGTCCTTGTGAAACCCCCTGGGCCTTCCAGGAGAGAGGGGTTTTCTGCTCACATATTGCCGTGACTTTACTTTTGTAGTGTGTGTGTGTGGGGGGCAGGATGGTGTTTTTATCTGCTTAGGTTTTTTCCTAATCCTCGTATATTTGACTTGCTTTTAAGAGCTCGGTTTTATGAACCTGTTTGTATGTTTCCATTGAATGGGGATTTTTATCATGAGGTGTCTTGAGGGGAGGGTTGACAGAGGGTGGAGAGCGGTGCTGAGTGGCAGGAGATAGCTGACCTGGAGGCACTGGTCATGAAGCAGGATCTCGAAGTGTCCACGTGGAAATGGGAAGAGCTATAGCGCTCTGGAGGACAAATTTTATCCCTTTCAGAAGAGGTTTGGGGGGGCTCGGGGGCTCTGAGCCGCCCCTGAGTCTCCGTGTCTCCTCCAAGCTGGGAAGCCCCGCTCAGCAGCAGCCTCTGCCCAGGGCCCCCACTTTGAGATTACAGCCCTTCTGCTCTGCTCAGGATGTGAACTGCTCCGCTCAGTGGGGGGGGGACAGAGGGGACATTGGGACTCCCGATGCCGGCACCCCCGAGCGCCAAGCAGTGAGGAAAGCCCGCTGGGGTGTCCAGCGCCCCCTCCCGCAGTGCCGAACCAGAGCTCTGAATAAGCCTGGAGGACCCTGGACTGACCCTGGCTCTCTTCTCCTAGGGGGACCGAGGTTTCGATGGCCTGGCTGGACTGCCCGGGGAAAAGGGGCATCGGGTAAGCCCTCAGTTTGTTCTGCTGTGTTGGTCTCAGAGTGGTCCTGGTGAGTCCGGTAGACATGTTTTGCCCGGGACCAGTTTCCTTCTTCCCCCTCCAGGGCTGCTTTTAAAAGTTCTTTGCCTGCTTCTGCTTCTCCTCTCTTCTCCCCCCGTTTTGTGTCACGTGGTCTTTCAGACCCTGCCTCGTTGGCTGCAGTTCTGCGCCTGCTGCAGCCCCATCCGCCCCCGTGGGGGGGAGCAGCGGTCAGAGTGCTGGACTGGGATCCCCGGCTGGGTGACTTCGGGCCAGTCACCCACTCTCAACCTAGCCTACCTCACAGAGTTGTTGTTGTTGTTGTTGTGAGAATAAAATGCAGAAGGGGGAAGTGTTGAAAGCCACTTTGGGTCCCCACTGTGGGGGACGGGGGAAGGTGGGGTACAAATAAAGCAAATAAGCCAGCTGCATCCTCTCCACGCTCCCGTCTGAGGGACAAGGGCCCGGAAGGCAGCCACCCCGCCATTCAGCCAGACCAGAGCTAGAACTGGTCCATCATGTGGGGGGGGGGTGTTGAAGGTCAGGATTTTTCTCTTGCTGGCTGAGGGCAGCTGGGTTTTAAGCTGCATTTTCCACACTGACCCATCTGACAAAGAATCCCTGCCTGTCGCAGAGGACTTCTGGGGCACATCACAGGGTACACACTTGGTTTTTGTGCATGGGGCATGATGCCTTTAATGCCTCTGCTCCTCCTAACCCCCTGAGAGCTCCCCCTGGAATGAGTGGGGGCACCACCGCGGAGCAGCCATCGTAGTGGGTGGCTTCTGGGCACCCCCGTCTGCCACGCGTGAGTCCTCCGCTGACAGGCTCCCCAGGAGGGCCTGGGTGCCCAGAAGGCAGCCTTGGAGCCGCTGGTGTTTCTGGGGGGCCCTGAGAGAGGGAGGGGCAGGAGCAGGACAGCCGGCACCCAAGGGGTCTTCTTTTGCTCAGGGCCAAACACGTCACATTTTTTTAATGGGTCAGATTTGGAGGGGGGGTTGGAGCACGTTCACGGGGGCCAGAATGGAGCACAGAGGTTTCACCCCTTGCTTTGCTCCATCCACGATGGTTTTATTTTTGTTTTTTAAATGTACATTCCGCCCTCCCCGCAAGTTGTGGACCCCTGTGGGAGCCCTGGACTGCTCTGGCTTTGGGCAGTGTGGTTGGTGTGGTCCCATGTCTGAGAACCCCGTGGCCCACAAACATGCTTAATCTGGGGTGTCAGCAATATGGCTGAATGTACGTTTAATTTTTTCAGGGTGAACCCGGTCCTTCAGGTCCCCCAGGGGCCCCCGGTGAAGATGGGGAGAGGGTAAGTCTGTTCTTTTTTGATTAAAGGAACGTAATTTGGGCCAGTTCAAATGTGCCTCTTCCTCCCTGCAGCACTAAATGATGTGTCCTGCGTGCAAAAATGGGGCCATCACAGATCAGTCTTCGCTGCGGCATGAAGTCACCCCTCGGTCTTTGAACAAATGCTCCGGGGTGTCCTGAGAAAGGAGCGGAAAACCCGACAGTGAATGCTCCTCCTGGGCTATCCTCTTTGCCCCTTCCAGCCAGTTACTTGATCCACTATTTACTGACCTTCATGTGTCAAAATGATCTCCATGACATCCCCCCCCCTCCATAAGCCGATCTGTCTTTATAAAGGTTGACACGAATCATGGAGGCGTGGCTGCTGACGTCTCTGACCTCCCGTGAGGAGGGCTTCCTTAGGCAGGGCTGCCCTTTTGTTACTCCCAGGGTGCTGCTTTTCTGTGCAGTTGTTATTTAACAAAGTGTGAAGCGCCTGTGATGCGGCTGCAGCAGGGCCTGTCCTTAACCCTTCTCTCTCTTTCCCTCAACCAGGGCGATGATGGAGAAGTCGGGCCCCGCGGTCTCCCTGGGGAATCTGTAAGTAACCAAGAGCTGCTGTACTCTTGAGCTTGACAGGGTTGTTTCATACACCTGTGTTTGTTCAGTGCACTCTTGGAAACATAATGTGTGAATCAGGGCCATGTATGCTGCTGGTGGAGCGTGTGCACTCTGCTGGCTGTTTGGTGAACCGTTGGGTGGTCATTGGTGGGCAAGACCTGGGCAGCTTCTCTGTTCAGCCAGCTAGATCTGAGGCGCCTGGAGTTTCTTGAGACAATTCCTGAGCCAAAGAAGATCCAGCAGGACTTTTGTTTCTAATAAACCCAACAGAGAGCATGAGATTTCCCCCTTCCAGCATAAACATGAAATTGGGTGAATTTCCATAATTTACCAGTATTTGAAATGTGGGAAACTATGGATTTTCCACCTCCACAGGTTCATTCCCCACCTCAGTAGGTTCTTGTAAGGTAAAGGTTCCCTTGCTCGAAAGCCAGTCAAATACGACTCTAGGGTTGCGGTGCTCATCTCCGTTTCAAAGCCGAAGAGCCAGCGCTGTCCGAAGACGTTTCCGTGGTCATGTGGCCGGCATGACTAAACACCAAGGCACACAGAACGCTGTTCCCTTCCCACCGAAGTGGTACCTATTTATCTACTTGCAATTTCTTGCTTTCGAACTGCTAGGTTGGCAGGAGCTGGAACTAGAGACGGGAGCTCACTCCGTCACGCAGCACACTCGGGTCTCGAACTGCTGAACTACCGACCTTCCAACGCCTGCAGTTCAGCGTTAATCCTACAACAGCCATCAGCCTAGTTCATGTTTGTGCAGGATTTCACCAAAGAAATTATTGGGGCCACATTTAGAGGAAATAAGTTGCTCTTAAGCCCCATAGAGATCTTTGGGGCTTGATTAGCATCCCCTAAATTGCAAGTGGGGTGTCCGGGAGCACCGGGGATTCCCGTCAGAGTTTCAGAGCTGGACCTTAACGTTCTCCCAAGGAGGGTGACACTTCTGTGGTTTCCGTGTCCCATTAGCCTTCAGAAACCCTTTAAATGTGGCTCAGGGGTGGAGCATCTGTTGTGCACAGAAGAGGTCTTGGGTTCCGTTCCTAGAACCTCCCAGTTGTGGGTGCCATGAGAGACCTGGAGAGCTGCGGGTGCCATGAGAGACCTGGAGGAGACAAGACTAATCTTCTTGGACCAATGTGGACTCTGCAGGCAGCAGCTCTTTGTGTTTGTAAACTCTGCAGCCAGAACCGTTTTAATCTGCAACGTATCTTTATCCCCTTTTAAGATGCTGGGGCTCCTCCATTGTGTCCTGGACCCCCCTCCCCTTATTTTTTGTGCTGAATTTCCAACATCATTGTGAATTCCAGGAACCTCAAACGTTTGTCCACTGTCTTGTGATGCGTGCATTGGTCTTGACTGAAAAGGTGTTTCCCAACTGCTTGTTTGTTTGGTGTTCGGCTGATTGCAAAACCATACGGTCAGACCTGAGAGTCATCCCATCTGGCTCCCTCTGTCGCTTTCTCACAAGAAGGCCAACCCCAGATTGAAAATTCATTGAGCTAAAACACTCTCCACTCACACACTAGTGGCAGCGTAATGCCTTATTGAAGATATGCTTGCTGTAGGTTCAAGAACTTTTGTTAGGGCTGAAGAAAACCGCAGGAAATCACAGGTTATAGGTAAAAGCATAAAATTCCACATTCACTCACGCCACACCTGCCCCTGGCATTTCTGTGGCGACATGGGCAGATATATGGTGCCCTGTCTACCCTAAGCATGGCACAAAGATTCACCAGGGTCAGTCTCATGAAAACCAACACTTGGGGCACAACTTCAGGAATAACTATGGCTGCTACTCCCATGCGCTTTCACAACACACACACACACACCAGGAATTTAACATGACAAGCGAAGGGGAAGAAAACAGAACCTAAGGACATACTGCCCCCCCCCAGCCCCCCTCAACCTCCACGCTGGTGGGGATGGCTGCGATGGACCTCTTTAATGAGGTGGGAAGCTCTCACGTGCTTAGCAAGAACCCACTCATTCTGTTTGGGCCCATTATGCTTCCATTTCACAAGGTAGAACAATTGGCCTCGTCTCAATCTAGTATCCAAGATGGTCTCCACCACCTGGTGGAGTTTGCCGTCGATCAGGAGAGGAGGCGGCGCTGGAGGACGACGAGTCCAGGGCGAGGGTCCAGGGTCCTCCTTTCACAAGCTGGAATGAAAAACAGGGTGCACAGAGCGCAAAGATTTAGGGAGCTCTACTTCAACAGCCACCTTATTGATAACATGCTTTACTCTAAAAGGACCAATGTACTTCCATCTCAGCTTCCGCCCAGGTTGTAGCCCCCTGAGGTGCTTGGTATGCAGAGTCCCCCGGAGCTAGGTCTCACTCAGGACTCCTGGTCTTGTCAGCATAGCACTTGTAATCCTCTTTCGCTTTATTCAGAGTCTTATGGAGGGTGTCCCAATTCCTAGTTACAGTAGACCACCAAAGCTGCACGTCCCCTTTTACAAGCTCTTTCAAGTCCACAATGGGCAAAGCCCTCCCCCCCTCATATCCATGTACTGCTTTGAAAGGGGATATCCCTATGGAGCTATGGACAGAGTTATTGTAACTGTACTCAGCAAATGGCAGCAATTGAACCCAGTCATCTTGTTGACGTAACACCTAAGGAATTGCCCCAACACTTGATCAGTGCGCTCCATTCGGCCATCCATCTCTGGAGGGTGGCTGCTACTGAGACCTTGTTCCACTCCCAACAGGTTCATCAGTTCTTTCCAAAACTTAGCAATGAACTGTGACCCCCAGTCCAAAATTATCTTACAGGGCAGCGTATGTAATCTTACCACGTGTTGTAAGAACATCTTAGCCAGTTGTTTAGCCATCGGTATTTGTTTGCAGGGCACAAAGTGGGCTTGTTTAGAAAACAAATCTACTTCAGCCCATATCACTGTCTTGCCCTGGCTAGGAGGCAGATCCGTGATAAAATCCATAGAAATCACGGCCCAGGGTCTCTCGGGTTTCCAAGGGTTGGAGCTGACACGGCAACTTCTTTTGCTCGTTACACAGGTCTGACAAATATCGCTCCTCATCCCAGGCCACCAAAGTTGTCTTTGGATTAAATGCAAAGTCTTTAAATAAAGGGCTCAGACAGTTTACTGTCATGCCCCATCGATAATACTCCCCCCCTTAGGGACTCCGGAACAAGCACCTTGTCTCCTTTGTACCAACACCCATTCTCTTCCTGACACAAAGAAACCTTCTTTTTGATAGTCTCTAGATCTGCGGGAGTAAGCGCAGCTTCCAGCCTCTCTGTCCATTCGCCTGACTCTGCCTCTCTCCCCGCTTTCGCCTGGCTCCGCATCGTTACTGCCCCCTCTCCAGCTAGGCAGGGGGAAACATAGTATCTATGGCTTCATCACATTGGCTGGTGTGCTGCAGGAGGCGGGACAAGGCATCTGCCAGGAAGTTAGACTTCCCATGGAGGTGCTTCAAAGTGAATTGAAACTTTGGGAAGAACTCCACTCACCATAGCTGTTTGGCGCTGAGGCGGGGGTGGTGGTGGTGGTGGTGGTGATGGTAGGGTTTCCAAATTTTTATGGTCGGTCCAGACCTCGAAAGGAACCCTTGCCCCCTCCAACCAGTGTCTCCATGTAGTGAGCGCTAATTTTATAGCTGCCGCTTCCTTGTCCCACACCGCCCAGTTCCTCTCCACCCCTAAGAACTTATTGGAAACGTAAGTGAGGGGGTGCAACTGTTGTAGACATTAGATTCCATGTCAAAAATGAAGTCAAATGAGGAGGAAGTTCTTGTATTTTATTGTAATGAAATATGGAAAACAGGCCAAAGGACCCATCAAATTGATTGCTTTCTTTTCAGCATAATCAGGAAACATGCCTCAATTAATAGGAAAACAATTAGACCAAATAGTTAACCAAAAATTGACAACTTTCTTCTTTTTCTTCTTCATCTTCTTCTTGAGCATATTCTGAACAGATTCAAGAAATACATAAAGTTAAATACTTAAAATGACATCAAAAGGCATAATTGGTTACAAAAACATAAACAACATTTACATGAAAATCTCCTTATTGGTCAAATGTAAGAAAGGTGTGCCTATGCAATAGCGTCACATATTTACTTGACATGTTGGCTAAAGCTTGTTCTTCCCCAAACAAAAGTATCATTACTGATACGAGACTAAAATCTTATCTGACCCAGACATTGAAAGGTTTGCCCTAAGAACTACAGAATCATGAACTTTGTACCTATTATGTTGCTTGCTAGCAATATCAGACCTACAAGAGGAAAGCCTTCTATATAACAGGCCTTTCTAACATCCTAATAAAATATTACTTAAAGAATAAATCTATTAAAACCAGAGAAATATGAATATGAACAATCAAGAAGGAAAAACCTATATATGAAAATCTTTATATTCCCATTCTTACTACACAACTTCCCATCAGGGCCCCTTTGTAAGATCCCCCCTCCCATAGCCATGTCCGAGGCATCCACCTGTACAATAAATGCTTCTGTTTTGTCTGGATGGTGAAGAATGGGCTCAGAGATAAAAAGAGGCTTTAGATGATCAAACACTTGCTGGCATTTGGGGTTCCACTTTAATTTACTCCCCCCCTTCTTGCTTTCTGGCCCCATCTCTTTAGTCTTTAATAAGTCAGTTGGGGTAGTGTCACTTGTGCGAAATTGGAAATGAAGGCTCTGTAAAAGCTGGCAAACCCGAGAAATGATTGTAACTGCCTCCACGTGCATGGGGGCTCCCACCCCACCACATCTTGCACTTTTTGGGGATCCACCCCCAACCCCTGTTGGGTGATGCGGTAGCCCAAGAAGTCTATTCTGGATTTGTGGAATTCACACTTTGACAGCTTGGCATAGAGCTGGTTGTTGTAAAGGGCACCTCTCTCACCAGTTTCACATGTGTTTCCATGTCTTTTGTATACACTAACATGTCATCTAAGTAAACAACCAACCCTTTGAACAGGTGCTTGTGCAACACTTTG